GTAAATATGATTGGCTATAAAATATACCCATGGTGGTGGGCATAATTTATCATTTATTCTGATTGGCTGACAAAAAATGACATAATTGACAGTTGTCATCCGAAGTGGATGTCATGAAAATGAGATTCTGAATGCTCCAGACCAGAGGTTTTCTTCTTGCATCGTTAAATTTAAAAAGCAAACTACGACAAAAATATGATAAATACTTAAAAACATCTATAAAAGAAGAGAAAACATCTGGAACCAGGGTAATCAAACTCTCACTTCTTGTTATTAATGTATGCAACAATCCTCTGGCAAAGTTTGACTGAGTACTTATCTCTTCACCAAACAAAGAAGGAAGGGTGTTTACAAAAGAAACACTGATAAAAGAGCCTGGTTTTTGGAGTATGAGTTCATCATTGAATTCCATTTTATTTTTTTTTAGCTAAGTAACCCACCACTTATCCCTTCTCCACCCAAAGAGAGAGTGCGAAAGAGAAAGCAGCCAATGAAACACTCCCAGACATCCCAGACCATTAACAGACTACAAACAGCAGAGGCTGTAGCAAGCATTCAAGAATTAGATGATCAACACTCACCAGAGGTAGTAGTTTTTGTATTTCATTCTGAATTACAAGACTTGTWAAAGTTATTTCCCTATTACATGTAGATCCATAATTTAGTGGTAAAAAGTGTTGACCTTTCATGACTTTTGAGGTTTTTTACAAACATTGTTCTTTGTTATTACTTTTAGGAGAACAGGGAGGATGTAAAACAAGAAAATGATCAACAGCTTCAAGAACATCTTGCACAGTTTGGCGAGTCAGAAAGTCAGCCTTTGGTCATCACACATGGACAGGCAGACCCTACGAAAAATGGTAATAACCAAATGCACAATGCACTGCAATAGTCTACCTATATCCCACATGGAGGGCAGGCCATTCGTGAAATAACCAAGTACTGCTATTGCTCTTTATTTGCTTCAAAACCTGGTGAAGCTCTACATGATGCAATATTAAAACTGAAGCCTTTTCTATTTGGGTTGGTGGGAACTAGCGGTAAACTAGYGTGAGATGYGTCAGTGTKCTAAAGAAACACTTGTGTGAAAAGATAAATTGAACACCATAAAAAAAGTAGGTGAAATGRCTTATTGACGTTTYRGMCATTAATCCTTCGTCRGAATGTTGGGTTGGGTTGTCTAAGTGGTGCCATCCATATGGTAATTCTGATATAACACATTCAAGTGTTGTCTCAGATCAATCATCTGGACAAATAGATGGCCCATATTGCACTAATAATTCATTATTATTATTAACGAGCTTTGACAAATTATTCAATGTTTGTTTGTTTTTATGCACGTTTTTCTTTATCARWCTGACAATTTGTYCATTTATCGCGTTAGTTRTCATTCTCAGGAACCCAAGTGTAATTAATCTTCCATCATCCGTTCCTCATTGTCATCCATTCCACACTGATAGTTTATTATTGGTTCATTCTCTAACTTTGTTTGTCTTTGAAAAATTTAATATGCAACTCATATAATGACTAATATTTCCAATGCATTCCAGGACAAGTTGTGATAGTTGTAACATCAAACAATGTCTTCACTACTGGACAAGAAGCAGAACCTCCAACTACATTTGCACAAATCAGCCTCCCTTCTTCACACATCACCAATTTACCATCATCGTCATTTGGGACRTTRCCGACAGGAAGTCAGGCAGTGCTAATAACCCATCCACAAGGAGAGAATGGACAGTTTTTAGCGCASACACAACACAGTAACATATTGACAGTGATGARYCCCACCATTCAGGGTATAGGCCCWAATCAAAGGGTTGTACTTCGTATGGTACCAACAACAGGAAATATACAACCAGCTACGACAGTTGATTCTCAAACAGATCCTTCAGGTATAACTTTTAAAATAAGTATTAGCTTTGTACATCATTGCTTGGTTATCAGCCAATACCAATATCTAATGAATAAACTATTTGGATTTGTATAATCTTTATGAGATTTGGATGCTACWTTTGTCTGAATRGTCTCCTTCACGGTTACCTGCGTCATCTTGAAAGGTAGCCGTGCCTTTGCATCGARGCGAGACAACCGTTGAACGTTCAATGATAGAAAACTTTTTTCACACCTATAGACAATGATTCACAGGTATCTATCATTGCATCATTGCACGCTCAACCGTCGTCTCGCTTCGATCGATGTAAGATGAYGCAGGTAACCGTGAAGGAGACTATTGTTTTAAAATACTTACCACTTGCGGGTATCCTGTGTTTTTTGCTGAAACAATGAAAGCTGCCGTACAGTCAAGAGACTCCATTTTACGAAGTGCAAACAAGCTAATTTGCAACAMTCTCGGGTTATGCTTCAAAATTATATATGTCTGCCAAAGTCTCCGAGGGGAAGGGGGGTTAGGTTTCTGGACCACAAGAACTAAAGTCATGACGTCATGGATGGGAACCAGCAGTAGATAAACCCATACCAATAAAAGACCAATTACATGTATATCACTATCATAATCGCTATTTTGTGTATAATCACCAATTAATAATCCTTCAATCATTYCAAAATTTTATTCAGCTCCAGAGCAGCTTCTAGCAAGTCAAGCAGCCGTAGCAGCAGTATTGAATGCTGCAGCCACTGTAGAAGAATCAAATGAGGATCAAGAAAAGGATACTGACTGTGAGCCCGCAGTCAAAAGACAAGCAGTTGGCATTGATTTATCATCACTTGTTAAAGAAGCAGGCTTTGATTCTCATCATGTACAGGTATGCTATTGGAAAAAATACCAAAATCAAGATCGACAATATTAACTCAGCCATACTACTCGGGAGATTGTACAGGATGGTGAACTAAAACAAAATTCAGGTGTTAAACTGACGTTTCCAGTAAAGACGCAATTTTTTAGTGAAATTACAATTCAAAAGATATCTCAAGATGTCTTACTATAAGTTGAAGTCATTTCCACTGAAGGCGCATAAAAGTGTTTTGAAATAGTTGCAGGAGGAGCCGACGTGGTCTGTTCTTCTAAATAACTGTTCTTGTATGAATTTTTTTCCTGGGAAAGGAATTTTGAGCTACATTGTTGACAATCTCACAAGAAAATGTGGTGCCCTTCCTTTAAAACAATTTTGTTCCTGGCAAAAGTTTTTAAGGTCAAAAAAGGCTTATATAACGTTTTTATAGTCAAAAACGGCTAWTATTKTTTTAGTTAGGAMMTTTATTTTTTCCTGGCAAAAATTYTTAGAAAGTRTTCCTTGCCGGGAGAGTTCTTTTTTCCTGAAATTCTCGCTGGCAACCAGTTGTGACTTACAGCTGAGATGATAACAGATATATTTCTCCCAGGAACTCGTTGCCTCCTCCTATATACAGTTGCCTCTGGAAACATAAACATCTCACTCAAAATATACTGGTGGTTGTACAATTTGTCCCTATATTACTGTGTTGTTGTTTATATGTTGTAGTTGTGGTAGTAGAGTTGTTGTAAGACATTGCTTTCTATTTTGTTACTAAAGTTGTTGTCTTGATAGGTATCTGGAGTAGAAATGACAACCGTGGAGTCAACTCAACCAATCCTGACATCTACTGATAGTACAGCAAACCCTCAAGACTACACCGACAATGGTACAGAAACTACTCTCGTTGAATATACTTATCAAAACAACACCAAACAAAMCAACCAAGAAGAAACACTACCCGACCAACAGTCAGTGATGGACAGCTATGACGTACTYGATGATACCCAGTCTACCCACCAAGCCACGGTGGATACYAGCGAAATACAATCGATCTCTATGGATGCAGAATTAATCGAGAACTTTCCTAAATTTACCGGCACATCAGAAGCAAGACTAGTCCATGTTACWAGTGCRGATAGTAACGGTACTGATGTGGGCACTGGTGGTATGGTGCTAGTSACAGATGCAATCAATTCATATCACTCACATACCGATAATRATGTCGAGAATAATACCGACTTGAATACAAAAGAACTCGACGACACTCAATGAATCATGCCSTTTTAGGACCACTGCATTCTGGGTGGAATGAAAACTAGCTTAATMTTTGTATTTTGAGTTCATTGTTTAATAAACCTCAACTGTAAAAAGAAGTTTATTTTTTTAATGAAATAGTGATAGATGATGTATGGTTATCGTTGGAAAAACCAGAAAACAAGTTTCACAAGAGAATATTTTTCTTGAAGAAACTCCTTTCGTGATTTMAGGCGACGACTCAAACATCCCACAATGCATTGGAAATCAAGTGACGTAATAGATTTAAAGGTGTGTTTCAGCCGGAGATTTAGACTTTATTTCCGTTTTCAATTTCGACGAAATAGACATTAAAACGAAGTCAAACCAGTCGAAATAATTTCAAACCGCCTGTTGAGAGTGATTTGGAGCCAGACGTTTCTAGTGTCAGATTCAMCATGGCGTTCAGCAAAGTTCATACAGGTGTTCATATATCATTGCAAAAAAAGAGTTCGGTTTTATTTTTTCTTATGTCGATTATCAAATGACAAACGTTTCGGAAAGAAATACTCTTTTACACGATTTATGTCAAGATTTGATAAAAATCAATAGGTCAGCACTGCTATTAGTACTAAATAGCGTAAAGTCTGATTGCAGAAGCTTAGTGTCTGTACCATAGCTATATCAATTGTAATATAAATTTGATTGAGCGGTTATCAGTGATTATAACACACTCGGCATCGCAGGATGATAGGTGGCAAATATTTCATTATTTGATCAAACATGCAGGTGTTTTGTACAGCCAATCAGAGTTCAGCATACTGCTTTCATCACCAGTCTCAAACGCAYAAAGAATAGCTAAAAACTCTCAATACGAGTYYTTGAACAATYTGTTAGTGCTATATGAGCGCTTTAACTTATTGACGCCATGAACAGCAGTATTACGAACGGTACAGCKAAGACAAATTCCAGGATYATTGCTGATTCKMTGGGGTGGTTCTGGATTGCAAGTATTGCCGTTTCAGTTATAACAATTCTGGGMAACTCCATGGTCATATCTATRATTGCATTTACGCAAAGACTRAGGACAAGGCAAAATGTGTTTATACTATCCTTAGCTATAGCGGACTTGGCTATTGGCCTGTTTATAACACCAACAATGTTCGTGTGYGGTGCTTGGGTTTCCTGTGAAAGAGCTCTACAAATCGTGTTTTATAACTTTTTATTGCTATCATCTACTGATAACCTGCTAGTTATGACATTTGATCGGTATTTAGCAATTCTACATCCATTCAAATACCAGCGAATTATGACAGATAGAACTATTGGTYTTCTTTTAGTCGTTGCTTGGTGTTTGTCTTTGGTCTCCTCGTTTGTTCGCTTGACCTGGCTGTACAATCAACCTTCTAATCTCTTTCAGATTGAACACATATACATAGCATTCATTGAYATTGTATTTGGTTTAATCCCATGTTTTGGTTTACTACTGGCATATTGTCGTATTTACATAGTGGTTCGTAAGCATCGAGTTCAAGACAGTAATCAAGCCAGTAATATCAGATATAATACTAATGAAATGGCCGTCCACCCACAATTCACTGTAACGCAACCAAGGTCTTTGAAATCTGTAGAGTTCTTGGGCGGTGTCATTTTAGTGTTTGTGTTCTGTTACTGCCTGAACATTTCCGTGTCTTTTTGCACGAACTTAAAAATCTGTAAGGTTGATGGCTACGTCAATGAGATTTCTATACTTCTGGTTATGGTCAATTCCGCTATCAATTTCTTAGTTTATGCAGTTCTAAAGAGAGATTTTCGTCGGGAATTATCGAGGATTTGTAAGAAAATATTACCACTTTAGTGAAATATTTGATAACGATCCTGAAAACACTGCACTTATCTTAAATTTAATTGAAATAAGGACAATGGTTTAAACCTTGTGGCTGAATTAGACGATAAATGTCACAATTAAAAGATTGAATCAAGGAACCGATATACTAATCACGTTATAACCCAATTTAGTGAAGYATACAATATATTTAAACTTACAGTTACAAAGACTAAAACTGGTCAGTATAACTGATAATAAGAGTTTTAAAATACATACCCCATGCTAAGTCACGTAATTAGTTTTTTTTTCAATATTGGAGATTTTGTCGAAAAGGACTTGATTTCTTTAAATTGACTCSCGAAAGAAAATACTGCTAGATATTTTTCAATAAAAGTGAACTACAAGTACAAAATACTGGAGAAGAAATAATAACAGTGCTGTTAGCATGCCCTTGTGTTTTTACAGCTTTAGATCCTGACTACTAACGTGCATATTGACATAAAATCGATTGCTTATTTTAATTCAAAATCATCAAAATACAATCATGATACTCATTTTGTTGTAATATCTATGAAGATAGTTGTACTTACAGAAATTGTTGGGCCTCCTCTATGCGTAATTGAAATATTCTGTGTCAAGAAATATTTTTTTGGTTTCCGAATTTTTGCATTATCTGCAACTGATCGTTTAAAAAGATTTTCACGTTCACGCGGATTCGTATTGGGATCGTTTATACGTAGTCGTAAGAGTAGTTTTCGTGTCTGCGTATTCTTTTTGGGGACGTTTGCACGTCTACGTATTGGGAGCGTTTATACGTAGTCGTAGGCCCCGGTCGTAAGCGGAGTGTTCGTGCGTATTCTTTTTGGGGACGTACGCACGTCTACGTATTGGAAACGTTAACACGTATTCATATTCGGAGCGTTTCAAGCATTTACTGATTCCTATTTTTTTTGCGGATTCAGTCGCAAACAGAATGGCAGATGCGAAAACGTAGGCCTAAGTGTGTAGATGGGACAACAAGAAAGTCAAAGCGTTATATTGAATATAGACAGCTGGGACTTACTGAACGATCACTCAATAAAAATACATATCAGTGAAAAAGAGCAATAGATCTAATGTACAAAATTAATAAATGTCTGCTCCATCCTGTGCTAAGGCGTCAAGTGTCTGATAGTAATAACAGTTCAGCAAATTCTAAAAGCCGAGCGTGATCTAGTAGGTTCTATTCAAACGTCCTATCCCTAATGAATCAATTTAAATGCAAATAAGATKGTAACGACTGAAAAAATATTGGAAACATTTTACTTTCCGTGGCGTTGCATTTAAAAAAACGAAAGTTATATAAAACCTGAATCACACTTACGAGCTAAAAAGGCAAAAAATCTTCTTGGTTCTTCTTGGTTTTATGTGAGGCTAGTTTCATCATATGAAACATGCCTTATCTGCACATTATACAGTCATAGTTTCCATTTGCTTTGTGTATATTGTTTTATGGGTTAGCAAGAGTTTATTTTTTACATATTTGCAAAATTCCTACAAACTCTTCAATGACCACTTATTATAGATTCTCTCTGTGGTTTTGAATTGACGTTGATTGCAATATTTTTTTTCAAGGACTGTTCATTTGGAACCTTTGTTATTGACTATGTTTTTTTTGATTAAATACACTTCCCTTTCAAGTTCAGTTGTTTTGGCTCGTGAAAATGTAATAATTCCATCACGAACTTCCGTGAGCTGAAAATGTACGAATAATGATAAAGATAATAACAAATTTGGCATAMAAACCTGAAAAGCAAAACAAAAATAATTAAAAGGTCACGATTTCTATACAAGACGTCATGTTTCAGTTTATGGTACCCAAGAGCGCTTGCGTACCGTCAGTGTGACAACCGATTTAATGCAGCTTGAAATCTACTCTGACAAAAATTGCAGAATTGGCAAAAATATCGAAATTTGTTATCGAAATTTTAATCRCATTGCATATAGATGTTCAGGAAAATGGATGGGTTCTACAAAACGATTTCCGAGATGGGCGATCGCTTCCAATATAAACACAATTCTCCAGCAAYTTGTTTMCYAGGGAGCGCAAGTTCATAATCCCACTCCTACTTTCTATATTTAGCGTTATTTTGAAGAGTTTGTTATTGCATGTTGTTATCGAATCGTGAATTTGTCGCTTGGAATAAAATGAAATCACACAAAACTCTCTCATCTTATTATTAATGTATGGAACAATCCCCTGGAGAGGTTCCAATCAGTTCTCCCCACCAATACTTTGTTTGATAAAAATATAGATGGGAGGGGAG